CATTTTTTTGCGATACTGTTTTTGCCTCTCAAAAAAGTTATGTTTACGAGACGCGGAAATGCACGCAAGCGACCAGAAACTATGAAGCAGTAAGATACCTTATCCCCGTTTGAACTCTTCCGCAATTTGGATGATCTACATCGATATTTTGAAGAGTAAGAGAGAAGCGATCGGTTCCTAGTCACTGATGGTCTCCCAACACCGACTGTCAGTACATCAACGACACGCGAGACTCCTTAAATAACGTACGGCTACCTACAGGGGAAACCTATCTTACCGAGTGACATCAAGACGCTCGTTACCGTGGCAGTTGTGGTGATAACGCACATGTGGGATATACCCGTGGTAGGCAATGCCCATTGGCCCCGGTAGTCTTCATATCTATGACGTTATTAAGGTGCACGAGAAGGAATGGCTGCAATAGCGCTGGGATTTCAACATTATTGCTTTGTTTATGATGACAGATTTATCTCTGCAGATAAGGGGGTAGCCTGGTACTCAGACCATCGTGGGCTACCCGGTGTCTCCACGGTGCTGGGAGTGTTGCCCGCCCGCCTAGGCCGGAGGTTTAACCTCTGTCGGTTTCAATTACTAACACTTCGCCTACAACAATCAGACAGGTCGGCTGTAAAGATAGGCTGATCCTGGTAAAAACACTCCTAACCCGGCCCGTTGAGAATGGTCACCAGGCTAATACATGTAAGTGGAAAGGGGGTATGGTCAAATCCGGGAAAGGATACTTGTTTTGTACGTTTTTTCTTAAGTTTAAAGAAATAATCTTGCAATCTAAATGTCGTTCTTGCATTAACTTATATTATCTCCATCTTATTTCACTTACATGTATACGCCTATAGCTAGCCTGTTACATTGCAAAGGTAACTCACCATAAGATAAGATAAGCATGCACTGACTTATCAACTTCTACTTCTGATGATTGTATTCCGTCCAAAGCGCGCAACTCACCACCCCTAAAAGTGCACTTCTGTGAATCATGATTACGGAATTTGAAATAAACTATTCACATCTATAATGACATCCTTCGAAATTGGAGCTGAAGTTTCCTAGACGCGCCTCTATCGTCATCGTTGGTTCCATTAGCCGGTGATGTGGGCGCGGAGATCAGCGGTGCCTTAGCAAACCTGGCGCTCCCCCGTGGCCCGTGGCGGTGACCGGCGCGTTCCTCCGCTGATGTCCCGCTTATCTGGGGGAGGATCTGCGCCGTTGATCCACCGGATCTGGGACACGCTGCGTCACAAGCGACAGCGACCCCCGCAGCAAGCGGACTGACTCCAGTCAGGATTTCGGACTGCTTTTTCTAGACGATTCGCTTGATCGTGGACCCGAAATCCTGGCAGCCGTTTCCGCCGTTTGAAACTGCAGCTACATGTAAAGTGTACGCGTGGTCGTTGAGTTGAGTCATGAAGTAAATCATGCGTTCAGTCTCACAGCAAAATTCTCGGAAAAGCATCGATGCACAAAGAGTTAAAACATTTGAATGAAACTTTTGTGGTAACCACCGCTTTCCTTTATAGGCTGCGACCGTTGAGCGTCCACTGAGCAACCAAACATCAAACATCTAGATCTGTACAGCTAGGACGCCGCTCAACAAATTTCATGGATTAAGAACTTTTTTACGATTCGTATGTCTTGTCTTTTAAGTCGCACTTTTATATCATGTACCACATTCCATTTATAAACCCAAAGATCACACTAATCCGATTTTGGTCGCTCAGCGGTCGTCGTCTATGGTGGAAAGGGGTGCCGTTAGTACGAGATATCGTTACGTACAAGTGGTTTCATGACGTCAATAAAGATACTGAAATTCGTCGTCAACTTGATCAAATGCAGATTGAGACTCACACACATCACGGACATAAGCGTCAATGGCCATGATGTCCTTGATGAAGAGTAATATAACAGAACGGTTGTCTGATGCATGCCTAGAGCGAACGCAAATATTTCTATTCGTCACAGTTGAAGTAACATTACATCGGCACTCATCTCAGCCTAACGGTTCCTACGCCCCCGTCAAAGGAAAGGTTTGATAATGAAAACACTAAATGTCTTGTGAACATACCAGTTTGGGATAATGCACACAACAATTTGAATCATACATGTATATGATGCTCCAAATTCCCCATTGCAGGCTTATCAAGCAACAGTTGAAATACACAAACGTGATTTGTGCCTTGCTCTTTGTACAGCAAGATACTATTTTATTGTCTGGTTATATGATGGACATTTTGTATTTTTACAGTAGAGTCACAGGAAGTGAGGGGGAATGGTGTAACCGCAGACTGTCAGGAAGGTCGCCCACACTCATGACTTCCATGGTGTAGAGCAGTTTTGTTTAAAAATGCCACTAAACAACTCGAACAGAGGACATGTCATGTTTTCTGTCTACGTGTTCTTGTTTATATTCTTCACCTCAAAGTACGCTTAACGAAAGAATCGCCGATCTCCGCCTGTATGTTGAGTGGGCTCCGTCCTGATCCTGACCCAGGGCTAATTTGGTCCCATTAGGGTGGGACCCCGGCACGGCTTACTGTGTGACGTGCAAGGGACTCAGATAAGGGCTCCGACTCATAACGCGTGCCGTACGGAAGGTATTAACCACTGCTCCATTTAGCGAATAGGATTATGAGACTATCATGCAAGGAACAGTCCAGGAGGAGGAAAGATGGGGAGGGAAGGGAACAGATAGAAGGGGAATAATACCAGAGAACGGACAGGCACGACACTAAGTAAAAACGTCAAGAAGAGCAGAGAACCGAGAAGGGAGAGAAAACTGGTTACTACTAGTATCAGATCTTCTGCGGTGCCACAAAGGTCAAATAACCAGACTAAAT